CATGTAGAGAATTATTTAAGAAATTAAAAATTCTACCTCTTCAATCGCAATACATATTGTCGCTTCTCTTATTTGTTGTTTATAACAAAGTAAATTCAAATTAAATTCTGATGTCTATAACATGAATACTAGACAAAAATATAACTTCCACCTACCCTCATCAACTTTATCAGTATATCAAAAAGGAGTCTACTTTACTGGCATAAAAGTGTTCAACAATCTGCCACAAAGTATTAAAAACTTGGGCAATGATACTAAAAAGTTTAAATCAGAGTTAAAGAATTATCTACATGCTCATTCCTTCTACTCTTTAGATGAATACTTCAATGTAAATAGAGAATGATGTAAAATTAAGTTATATTAATTTTTAAGCTAAAATTGCCTGTACTTATGTATGTAACCTTTTGACTTGTTCTGTATCCAAAGGTACTAACCTGCTTAGGATTTATAGAATGTAAATAAATTCAATTCAATTCAATTCATACAATATGACATACCCTTCTTTGTATTAGCCACCAGAGGGCTGTCTTCTATTTCACCTATGTTGTAGTTGAATGTTTATTCTTTTGCTTACCTTGATGTAAATTTATATCACTAATTTTGATTTTTGTTCCTACTGACATGTTTGTGTGCTGTGTTCCAAGTACATAATTATGCATGTGACTTGTAAATGTCGGTTGCAGGAAATTGTAGATAATCCAGAGCTGTTCGTGAAGGGTGCCAGTAGGTTCGATGTGCAACAAGGAGAGCTTGGTAAGTGAATGGGTGAGTGAGCAAGTTAGTGAAAAGGCAGAATCAGTAGAATAGTTGGTTTCATGCTAGTAAGCTGGAGTAGCAAGCCAATAGGAATTATTTCTTACCATCACAGTTAATGATTTAAATATTGTATTTGAATCAGCTTTACATCACAAGAGTGAAACCAGTTTCACCAGGCACCATGTAATTTCTTTTGTGCTATATACACCAAAAGAAACACTTTAATATCTTGCGATGCACTGTTTAGTTTCCAAAAATTGTGGAGTACCAGCAGCCAAATCATTATTTTCTATTGCTCAGAGAAACATTTATGCTTTAAGATTTTTACCCTGCAATTCATTAATTAGGGCTCAAATCCCTATTTTTGAGCATTAGTCACCTGAATGTTTCTCTATCACTGTCTTTAACAAGAAAAACACATTTGTACGTAATAATATTACTTTATGATGCCTTGATAACTCAAGTTTAAAGGTGAAGTTCATCTACTCTGTGAACCCTTCTGTGTAAGTAGGTTTGATTTCTCCCTGGCGTCTGAATACCGGAAGTATGTTTAAAATATAATATAGTAACTTTCTAATGATGACATACTCATAATGGTGTACATCAATAACTGATGATGACGCGCCCTTGAAATATGACTGAGTGCAAATGCCACTTGTGAGTTATAATTTGTCACTGCCATCCACATAGGCACTCCTGCAGCATACAAACCCCACACCATTCTCACATACAGGACTGTGGAGGTTACAAAGGAATTGCTTATCAGCTTCATGCTCTGGCCACTTTGGCCTACTGACAAGTCCTCTCATAACTAATGGATAGGAGGGTGTATAGGTATAAAAATATTTTACATATGTGGGGAAGGCAGGTGAACCACATGGTAACATCACTGACCCTGGTCTCATCTGTTACAGGAGACTGCTGGCTGCTGGCAGCTGTTGCGAACCTCACACTTAACAAGGCTTTGTTCTCACAGGTAGTTCCTGATGATCAGAGTTTTGAGGACAAGTATGCTGGCATATTTCACTTCAGGTATGTGCTATGATTTTCTTGCTGGAGAGAGCAGTGGTGCCATTCTGGAAGTGCAGAGCAAGTAAAAGTTTCATTGTTGGTGGAGTTTTTATTCTCTTTTACCTGGTAGTGGATGAGTGGCCTGTTACTGTATTACAAAACAGAATTTTCCGGTATTGTTAGACGTCTTCAATGTTGATTTTCTTTGTGTCGTGCTTACATATCACTTAACAGCCATATTGGATGAGAAGAAACTTTTTATTATAATACAAAACAAAAACAAATGAATATAGATAACTATTACCAACTTGAACATTTTTACGTTACTAGATTCTCAACATTCCTCCTTTATTTCAAAATATTATCAACATTATTATCTGTTTTACAAAGTTAAATTGAATAACACTTAGTAATTTTGGTCTTCAGATTACAAAATTAGTACATGTTATTAAAATTTTCTCAGTATTATCAAAATCACACTTATTTCTTCTTAAGTATAATGTCTCTAAACTTGGTAAATTCCTCTGGTGATAGCGGTTTTGTTAAAATGTCTCAATCTGTATTCCTAAATAGACTTTTGGATTTGTGGTTTTTGTTATCTGGAATTGATTTTCCAGTTTCAGCAAAATTTCCTCTGTTTGTCTTTCATCCTCTCCCATGATTATCCCATCATCCACATGAATGGCGATGAACAAACTATTGGCATCATTCTTTAAAATACATTGGTCAGATTTTAGTTGGTTTAGACCTTCTTCTTTTATAAAGGTTGTCAACTTCTTGCTCCGTTGCGATGGTGCTTGTCTTGGGCCATATAATGCTTTTTTAGGAGACATATCTTGCCAGTGTTCTTGTATCCTTCTGGTACCTCCATGTAGCTTCCCTCCTCAAGGTCTCCATACAGGAAGGCAGTTTTCACATCAAATATTTGCATGTTCATATTCTCACGTGCTGCTATGGCAAACAGTACTCTAAGAGAATTCATGTCAACAACTGGGCTAAAGGTATCCTTGAAATCTATTTTCCCTTCCTTTTGTTGGCATCTTCTCACAACCAGTCTGGCTTTGTTCTTCCATCTTTCTTTATTTTGAAAAACCCATTTACTGGTCAGAATTTTCTTGCCCATTGCTTTCACTCTGTTTACATATATCCAAGTTTTGTTTTGGTAGAGCGAATCCTTTTCCTCTTTAATGGCTTTCTTCCACTTCTCGCTGTCTTCGCTCTCCATGCACTCGTCATATGTATAGGTGAGCATACCCCCTTTGACTCTCCGTGTGATAGTCTCGGTACTTTGGGTGCAGTTGAATGTTTCTTCTTGGTCTCAATGCATATCCATGTTCGTTTTGTCCATTGTTTTTCCTTCCATTATCCTTGTGGTCAGCATTTTCATTTTCTTCATCCTCTTCAGTATCTGTTGGTTCTTCTTCATTGTTGTCAGCTTCGGGTTCTTGCTGCATTTCGCTATCTTCCTGATCAGGAGTATTTGGCTTGTCTTCTGGATCCATCACTCTTTCCATTTCCTTTTTTTTATGTTGTCACAGTGTTATATTTTAGCGTCCTGTTACACTGATTCATGTCCATGGTTTATGCTGACAGTCTTACAGTGTATACACTTTTTCACCTTATTCTTCACTTCCACACTACATGTTTCAGCACTAATGTGCCATCTTCAGGTGTCTTTATGCACGTTAAACTATTGTACTGCATGCCATAATTTAGAATTCATCGTCCTATATGACGAATACAGATTTTAGTCATTTTAGAATGAAGACATTATGGCATGCAGTAAAATAGTTTAACGTGCATAAAGACACCTGAAGATGGCACATTAGTGCTGAAACATGTAGTGTGGAAGTGAAGAATAAGGTGAAAAAGTGTATACACTGTAAGACGGTCAGCATAAACCATGGACCTGTTGTCACAGGTTTACTTGTGAATGTCACATCTCTGGAGACTTAGGTCCTTTCAGTATTTGGATCCCATATTCTGTAGCCATATGTGTTGTATCCAACGAATATTCCTTTCTTGCTATGACTGTCCAACTTTTCAATGGTCTGAGAATTTTAGCGCACACTTCTGAACCAAAAATCTTCAATCCAGCCAGATCTGGTCTTTTACTATACCAATTTTCCGCTGGCGTTCCATTCACTGTCACTGTTGGACTTCTGTTTAGCAGGTATGCAGAAGTGAGTACAGCTTCACCCCACATTCTCTTACTTAAACCTGAGTCAAAAATCAATGCTTTTCCTTTTCCACAATGGTACGGTGCATCCTTTCGGCAGTGCTGTTTAGCTGTGGTGAATATGGTGTAGTAAATTCCATTACAATCCCCTTGTTCTTACACCATTCCCTCAAGGCGTTGTTCTTCTATTCCCCTTCCATTGTCGCATCTTATTCTTCTCATTCTTGTATTGAAGTGACACTCAGCTTCATTTACATATTCCTTCAAAAAGGTATACACTTCACTCTTATTTTCTAACAGGTATATCTTACAAAAATGCGTATAATCATCCACACACGTAAGGAAATATTTCTTATTGTCATAAGTGGTGGGATCCATTGGTCCACACACATCACTATGAATTATCTCTAATGGCTTTCCAGCCCTACTTCTTTCTGAATCAAATGGGAGTCTCACTTGTTTAGCCTGCATACAAACTGAACATGCATGTATATCAACATTTTTACACTTGCTCACACTTTCTGGTAACCTTTGGCATATCTCTTGTAGTTTCCTAAGATTCGCTTAACTTATGTGACCTAGCTTTCTATGCCACTCTACACTTATATCTTGCTGAGTCATCATAGCTTCATTCATCATGCTAAAGTTAATTACGAACAACCCATTTTCATCCTTTTTCCCTTCGATTACAACATTTTTGTCCTTGAGTATCTGGACTTTCTCTTTTGTAAACAACACTTCTCCATCATTTTCTGTAATACACTGCACTGCCAGCACGTTTCTGCTGAGTTCTGGAACATACGAAAGGTTTTCAAACTACACACTTTAAATTCCAAATTGCCTATTTCTTTTGCAGTCATACTTTGATTTTTCTTTGCTACCTTTATACATTGAGTATACTGCTTAGTATGTTTCAAATTAGTCTTCGCCTTTGTCATGACATGTGCTACTACTATCCACTACATACATTTTGTTTTTTTCACTTGCATCACTCACGTGGGTTTCTCCTGCTTCAGCTAGAAAATTGACCTTGCTTCTTTTATTCCTATCTTTAAAATGAGTCCTTTTCAGCATGGTTCGTTTTCTTACATACTGTACATTGTTTTCTCGTATCGTCGCCCTTATTTCTAAAGTAACAGTCCTTTTTGGAGTGATTATTCCTTTTACAGATATAGTAATTTCTCTTACCTTTGTTGGAGCAATTGATCTGGGCATGACCTATTTGATTACAATTGAAACACTTGAAAGGGGTTTTACTTTTGGCTTTAGTTACTGTCTTGAAAGCTACGCTTTCCTTTTCTTGCACTTCACTTCTTCCAACATCAGTCTGGTCACCAGGTTGTCAAGGGTTCTGTCCATGGTCGCCGTTGAGTCCTAGGCGGTGCTGAAGTGTTTGCAGTCTTCTGGTAAAATCGTTGTTATTTTTGTCATGATCATGTTTTCATCAACGTTTTGGTTCAGTTGACGAAGCTTGAAGACAATGTTCTGCACGTGACTTATGTTCGTCTTCATATCCTTAGTTTTGTCATACTTGAAGTTGTAGAAGTCTTGTAGCAGAAGGCCCTTCTTTTGAGAGGTGTATCTGATAAATTTGCTTCAAGGTATCATACATTTCTTTTGCGGTTGTGCATGTCACAATGTGGGTCTTCACGTGTTTCTCTATAGTTCTCACTATGTAGTATTGGCACTTTGCATCTCGCATCTTCCATTTCCTTATATTTTCTTCATCTCTTCCTTGGTCACTTAACAGGTCGCTGCCATCAACGATATTTATCAGTTCTTTTGCACGCATCAGAATCTTGTTTTCAAAATCCCACAATGGAAATGAGTCAGCATCCTTCAGTTTTGGCAGATGAGTTACCTCTTCTGTCTCTGTGGTTGCCATTTTTTTCGTTATTCTTCTGTCTTCTCCTTTTTTAGTTTTTGAGCAAATCTGGGCCCATCACCTGTTGATTTTCTTTGTTTCATGCTTACATATCACTTAACAGCCATATTGGATGAACAGAAACTTTTTATGATAATACAAAACAAAAACAAATGAATATAGATCGCTATTACCAACTCAAACATTTTTACATTACTACATTCTCAACATTCAAAAGTTTCTCCTTTCTGTGGCACAGTATAATGTTGTGTGCCTTTAAATATGGCATATTTGGAATGTATCTGTTTAGCAAGAATGAAACATGCGTTTCTGTTTCAGAAGGTGCATGTTTAGATTTGTAAAGTGTTAACATATGAACTCTGTCAGCTGCTTACCTTGTGTATGCTGAGTATTATTTCTGATGCTCAGAAATGTCACAGAAATATACTATGGTAATAAAAGGGGTTCAGAGGTACCCAAAACAAATATTAAAAAGTGCAAACTGAAAGACAAAAAGGATTTAGGAAGTATAAAGATATGAACAGATGAGTTTTAATAATTTGGAGCCAGAAAAGACCAAGAGACTTCATCAGTGATACTGATAAAGGAGGAGATGCTGCTTGTGGTGGTGCTGTTCCTGCATTTAGTGGCATGAGCCCCTACATTTTCAGCGAGGCAGTTTTGGTGTGTTTTGATAACACAAGTTTTCTGTGGCATCAAATATATCAACAAGAGACATGTTCAGTGAGGCAGTTTTGGTGTGTTTTGATAACACCAGTTTTCTGTGGATTCAAATATGTCAACAAGAGGACATACCCTAAGCATGATATACCATGCTTATCACTGGTGGCTTGAGGAATCATGCTGAGTTCTATATGTTCATAAAAGATGGCAGAGTATGACTGACTATGTAGATGTTGTAAGCTGGATGGGCCTTGTCTAGGCCATTCTTATGTATACATATATTTAAAAAAAAATAGATGAAGAAAGCAGTCTTCCGGTGTGTTAACACCACATATACACGGTGCCAAATCCCAGAAGACTGCTTTCTTCATAGTCACTGCCGTGAAAGCCTCAAATCTTACAAAAAAATAGACGTAAGAAAACCGGAAGTTCTGGGAAGAATGAATTGCCTACTTGCCATTGAAACAACACAGACTGCATAGAGTCCAACAGTTCTTCTATTGTTTCATTTCCTCATTAACAGTTTTACTGAGCTGTAGCCAAGCTGTGACAAGGGGATTCACCCACACACAGAGACTGATGTGAGGGATTCATGAAGTGTATCATTGAGATGGGCTCAGGTGCAATGATATGCATAGTGGGTTTCACAGAGATTGGTTCAGGCTCTCAGAAGTTGGTAGGTGGGGATAACAGACAGCATGATGACTCCATAAGCCTGCTCTTATTTTATAAAAATAAGGAAAATTTGCTAATAAAATTCGAAAGCCACAGGCTTGGTGCCCCGAAGTGTAGCAGTGTGTTGCAGTCTGCAATAGGCTGAAGTATCCCAATAGTAACAGTGTAATCTCAACTGCACTAGATTGGGATGTCTCAGGCAAATCATTGTGGCCTGGTCTTTGCTAAGTGAAGGCAAAGTAATGTGATGTGGTCTGTGATGCATGGAAAACCAGAATATACCAGATAGACAATGTGGTATGAGCTACACAGGTCTGGGTGTCCGAACTGTAACAGTGTGGTGTAGTCTGTGCTAGGACAGAATAACGCACATAAAGGAAGTTTCTGGTTTTGATATTGTGAATGTAACAATTGGGTGTGTTCTATGTAAGGTGAAGCAGTGTGTTGTGGTCTGCACTAGGTTTGGGCTTCATGAGGATGACAATGTGATATGGACTACACTAAGACAGGATGTCACAGATACAGCAACATGGTATGGTCTATGCAAGATAGGGATGTCCTGGTTGTAACAATGTGGCATTCTCTTCACTAGTCTGCAGTGTGCCAGTTGAAGCAATATGGCATGATATGCTCAAGACTGGAATATTCTGGGTGCAATAATTTCTTTCTTAGCTGATTTATGAATTTCTGACTTGCTGTTAACCCTTTATGGTGAAGGCAAAGCTTCCTCAATAAGGTTGGGCTGGAGCAAGGTCATATTTGGGAGGTGCCTGGCAGTGTGGTGTGTAGCTTGAATTCCAGGTGGGTGTTATTTGTTTGCATGTAAAATTCATGAATTGGTTAGATCTTGTCCTTATGCAGGTTCTGGCAATATGGACGCTGGGTGGATGTTGTGATAGATGATCGCCTGCCCACTTACCGTGGGCGGCTGGTGTTCCTCCACTCATCAGAGCACAATGAGTTCTGGAGTGCTCTCCTTGAGAAAGCATATGCAAAGTGAGTAGAAGTTTTGCAGCCAAACAAAAAAGTTTCTTACTTATAATTAAGACCTGATGTAGTTCTCTGATTCTGAATCACTCTTTGGGTCTTTTCTAATGACATGACATAACGTAATATTGAATTGCATTCCATGGATCCAAAGTTAGTCAAATGACTGTAGAGTGTGGCATATGTCATATAAATACAAAACATATGTACAGTCCAAATGGAGTTCTGACACAAGAGAAACCAAGAATACACTGTGACTATACACAAGGCTATTTAAAGATACATAAGTTATTTTCTAGACAATAGGTATTCATCAACAGAGTAGAATGAGTGTGTATTTAAGTATCGATTCAGTGCTATTTTAAATCATGCGTCTTCATTCATAAGACCTTTGAGATCAGATGGTAGGTTATTAAAAATTTTGACTCAGTATATGATGAAATAATGTCAGGAAAGGTGGATGAATTAAGATACACTGTCCGTGTGTGGAACATAGTGCTTTCACGCGTCTTCCATTTATTAGAGAGCGGAAACGGATGTATAAAAAAAAACAATAAGCATAAATGTTGCCAACTTATGATGATGATATGATTACCAATCCAACATGACCTCCTAATCTCATCACAATCATAAGTCAACAATCAAGTAAAACATAATATAATTAACTATGCAATCAAATTCAACTTGCGATGAAAATACTCAGTTTTTGGACCTGGCAGAGCTTTGGTCAACAAGTCTGCCATCAACTCTTCACTCTGAATATAATCAAGTTTCACTTTACTTTTCTTTATGGCTTCTCTGATAAAATGATGCTTTAACTCTATATGCTTAGTACGTTTACTGAATCGCCTATCCTTACTTAACATTTGGGCTGACTGATTATCATTAAAGATTACAGGTACTTTCTCTTCATCCATCAATTCTAGTACAAAGTTTGATAAGTAAATCCCTTCTTTAATACCTTCAACCAGTCCATTCAGTAAATCGTGTAAACGTACACACTCTCTAGCGGCATCATTCAGCCCCTTGTACTCAGCTTCAGTACTTGACAATGATAACGAATCTTGTTTCCTGCTTTCCCAAGAAATTACATTACCACCCAATTTGAAAACATATCCAGTATACGAGGTCTTGTCAAGAGGGTCATTACCATGAGCTGCATCAACATATCCACACAAATCT